TTATATTTGAGGTTTTACATTTACGTCTTTGATCCATTTAGAGTTAGTTTTTGTGTATGGTGAGAGTGAGGGGTCCTGTTTCAATCTTCTGCATGTGATCAGTCAGTTTTCCCAGCACCATTTACTCAATAGGTTCTCCTTTCCCCAGTGGTTGTTGTTGGAGGCTTTGTCAAAGATGAGTTGCTTGAGAAATTGAGGCTTTGCTTCCAGTATCTCTATGCTGTTCCATTGGTCTATATGCCTGTTCTTGTACCAATACCAGGCTGTTTTGATTACTGTAGACTTATACTAAAGTTTAAAGTCTGGAAGTGTGATACCTCTTGCTTTGTTTCTTTTGCAAAGAATTGTTTTGGCTATTCATGGTTGTTTATGTTTCCATATGAATTTCTGTGTCGTCATTTCCAGGTCTGAGAAGAATGATGTTGGTAACTTAATGTGTATTGTGTTGAAGCTGTAGATTGCCTTTGTAGGATGGACATCTTAACAATGTTGATTCTTCCTATCCATGAGCATGGAATATTTTTCCATTTGGTTGTGTTCTTGGATTTCTTTGAGCAATGTTTTGTAGTTCTCATTGTAAAGGTCTTTCACTTCTCTGGCTAGGAAGATGCTGAGGTATTTCATTTTTTTGGTGGCTATTGTGAATGGGATTGTGCTTTTAATTTGGGTCTCTGACTGCTTGTTGTTGGTATATAGGAATGCAGCTGTCTTTTGCACATTTATTTTGTACCCTGAGACTTTGTCAAAGTCCTTTATCAGTGCAAGTAGGTTTTTGACAGATGCTCTTGGATTTTCAAGGTATAGGATCATATCATCAGCAAAAAGGGATAACTTGACTTCCTCTTTTCCTATTTGGATACCCTTGATTTCCTTCTCTTGTTTAATTGTCCCGAGCTAGGACTTCCAACACAGTGTTGAACAAGAGGGGTGAGAGAGGGCAGCTTTATCTTGTTCCAGTTTTCAGGGGAAATATTTCCAGTTTCTGACCATTTAGCAATGTTAGCTGTGAGTTTATTGTAAATGGCACTTACTATTTTGAGGTATGCTCCATCTATGCCTAGATGTTCGAGGGTTTTTATCAAGAAGAGGTGCTAGATTTTATCAAAAACTTTTTCCACATCTAATTATATAATCATGTGGTTTTTGTCTTTACATCTGTTGATGTATTTAATTATATTTATGGTCTTGCGGATGTTGAACCAGCCCTGCATCCCAGGGGTGAAGCCTACTTGGTCATGGTGGATGATTTTTGAGATGTGTTATTGGATTCAGTTTGCTAGAATCTTGTTGAGAATTTTAGCATCTATGTTCATCAAGGATATTGGCCTATAGTTCTCTTTCTTTGTTAGATCTTTACCCAGTTTGGATATCAATGTGATGTTATAAGCTGTTATTTTTAATCTGCCCTTTTCCTTATCCACCATTTAATTCATGTAAATCTGATATAGTCCACCTCCAAATATGTCTCAATTCTAACTTCTCTCCTTCTGTTACTATTCCTTTCCAATGGCTTGCTGTTGTATTTAGAACCAAATGTATATTCTTTAAAATGGCCTCCAGGGCTGGGCATGGTGGCTCACACCTGTAATCACAGCACTTTGGGAGGCAAAGGTGATAGGATTGCCTGAGCTCGGGGGTTTGAGTCCAGCCTGAGCAACACAACAAGACCTCATCTCTACAATAAATCAGAAAATTAGCCAGACATGGGGGCCTGTGCTGGTAGTTCCACTTACTTAGAAGACTGAGGCAGAAGGATCACCTGAGCCCAGCAGGTCAAGCTGCAGAGGCCATTAGCATGCCACTACTCTTCAACCTGGTGACAGAGTGAGACTCTGACTCAAAAAAATAAATAAAATAGAATAGAATAAAACAAAATAAAATGACCTCTAAGCCCTTCTATTAGTTTTTCTCATACATTTTCCTCACTAGCTCCTTGTGGTTGAGAAACTGACCTTCAAACATGTCAAGCTTTTTCCTCATCTGGGGCTTTGGCTTGCTGTTCAGTCTACCTGCTTCTTTGTTTCCCTGGCTTTCTACATGGCTGGCTCTGCCTCATCATTCAGGACACAGATCAAATGTCATATCTTCAAAGAGGCCTTTCTCTGACCACTTCATTTAAAATGGCATCTCCCCATATGCACTCACTACTTCCTAGTGTATTTTGTACATTTATGTTTAAATTACTTGTCTTTTCTTTCCTAATCTCAGAGTGTAAGATCTACGAGAGCAGAGACCTTTCCTTAGTTGTTCATTCTTGTATCTTCTGTGCCTGTAATAGCATCTGGCACTCAGAAAGTACCCAATAAATATTTATTTAATGAATAATTTCCTGAGTCCCAGAACTGTGGTCATGGCCTTCATGAAAGACTCAACTTTCCTACTTTTCTGCTTTAAGCACTGCTGACACAATGAAACAAAGCTTCAGTGTGCTTACTTTGCTAAGATAACCTAGACTTTGAAGCCTTTGCTGAACTTGTATAGCAGTAAAGGCAAATTAGATCTAAAAAATAGCACTCATATTCATTTATAGTAGTCAAATAGTCACATTGTAAAAATCTGGAGTGGTGTTCAGTAGCAGTCTCATTAAAAAATCGGTTGAAGCATAATTGTGTACTTTCCAGAATTCTTGTGTTTTCATTAAGATACAACCTATATACAGTAAAACCACAAAGAATACAGTTCAATAAATTTGTATAGACATATAATATCCTATGGAGACATTCTAGATTAAGATACAGAAAATGGCCTCATGTCTCTCCTCTGTCAATACCAGAGATAGCTGGTATTCTGACTTCTGTCACTGTGAATTAAATTTGCCTGTTTTTGAACTTCATATAAGTAGAATCATAAGGGCTTCTTGTATGAATCTGGCTTCTTTCACTTAACCTAATATCTGTGGGATTCATCCATGTTGATAATTGCTACAAGGTCCATTCTACTCTTTATTTGCTTATGGTAGTCTTGGATTACTTTGGGTTCATTCCAAAGCACAACGTTAACTTCAAGCATCTTAAAAACCTGGAGTGGTGTTCAGTAGCAGTCTCATTTAAGGACTTTGAATACCATTCTTGTGGAATGTATAAGGATAATGTTGAGCTAGGCAATTATCTTAATCCAACTAAAATAGTTGGTCACAGTATACATTAGATGAGCATCTTGAGTCAAACTTGAACATGCAGTCAACCTGAACAAAATGAGCTCAGTCACAGAGGGCCAGATTTTTTAATTAGTTCTCAGTGGCAAGAACATTTTATGTTTCCAAAAGTCAAGTACAAATTCTACAAGTGACACAATCCAAGAAGACTTCATAAGAGTGAATTAAACCTGGCCTCCCACTGTCACCTGCAGCATCTGAAGCCATACTCATTTATTTTTCACTGTTAGTGTTCTTAGAAGCACCAATATGCCATAATAAAAAAAGTAATGGTGAACTCTATTGAGGTATTATTGAATTAAGTAATCCAGTGCAGCACCCGCTACTTGACCTTTGGCAGGTAGTTCTTTTCTTTTTCTTTATCCTTTTCTCATTTCCCCTTGTCCCATTTCTGTCAAAAAAAATATATTAAATACATAAATTCTTTTTTTTTTTTTTTTTTTTTTTGAGCCAGGATCTCACTCTGTTGCTCAGGCTTGAGTACAGTATCACAATCATAGCTCATTGTAACTCTGAACTTCTGGGCTCAGGCAACCCACTCGCTTCAGTCTCCCAAGTAGCTGGAAACCCAGGGACATGCCATCACACCCTGCTAATTTTGGGGGGTTTTCTGGGGGTTTTTTTTTGTAGAGAGGCAGTCTTGCTATGTTGCTTGGGATAGTCTGAAATTCCTGGGCTCAAGCAATCCTTTCATCTTCCAAGGTGCTAGGATTACAGGTATTAGCCAACATGCCTCATAAATTCATCTTAATACATCGTATTCAATCAATCCTTTGTACACACGTGTATTACTTAAAAGTAGAAAGGATTGCACTTTGGGAGGTGGAGGTGAGAGGATTGCCTGAGCTCAGGGGTTTGAGACCAGCCAGAGCAACATGGCGAGACCTTGTCTCTACAATAAATCAAAAAATGAGCCAGGTATGGTGGTACATGCCTATAGTTCCAGCTACTTGGAAGGCTGAGGCAGAAGGATCACCTGAGTTTAGCAGGTTGAGGCTGCAGTGATTGTGAGCATGCCACTGCACTCCAGCCTGGGTGACAGCTACCAACTTAAAAAAAAAAGTAGGAAGAATTTTAAAGGAAATAAATAAAATATAATTAGTTTTTTGTTTTTGTTTGGTTTATTTTTATTTGAGGTAGGATAAATTATTTGTAGTTTAAAGACTGTATGACTGTATTTATAAATGCTATGAACAGAATGTGGTGATACAATGTGTTGACACTTTTTAGAAAAAATTACTATTGCTGTTAATAATAAATGCAAGCCTTCTCTTCCAAGGCTCAAATCAGTATCTCCTGAAATTTCACTGGGCAAAGAATAATCTACCAACAGTCAGTGTTGTAAGAGACCAAATCCTTTCATCTTCATTTATATTTGTGGCAACCTTTGGCCCTAGATTTACTTTATCCCAATTTTATATAGGTGAGTTGGAAAATTGCTGTTATTTGTTGTAGCAGGTTATCATTATAGCAATATCTCCTATGCTTGATAAAAGGAGATATACAAATAGAGAACATTTAATGAGTATTAAATGTTATTTTAAATTTTATTTTCTCTGAAGGTTTAGAATATTATTTTACTTAGTTTTGAGATGACTGGAATTTCATTTTCAATTTTTAATCTTACAATCTAATTGAATTGTGCAGATAGTTTACATTTCTCTGCACTGAAATTATTCACTCATCTCATATTGATAGGTCAAATGCCCCAAATAGTTTGATTTTCTCCTGCCTAAGTTTTGAGAACTAATTATCCTTGTAGAGGGCTTGAAGCTCAACATAAATAAAATTTTTAATGAGAATCCAAAAGTTGTACTTACATATTTATTAGTATTTATTTAGCAATATGTTCAGAAAATACTTTGAAATGTATTGGAAAATAATTAACATTATCTTGAGACTTTTCCACTGCGAAGCATCTTACTCTAAGAAACCAGATGCTCTTGACAGTTCTTATACCTCTCCCTTCACCCAGGTAAAAATGTGAATGAAAGAGTTGAACTCGAGGCAGTCCTTCCTAATTTGATGGCTAGTAGAACAAAATGATTATTGGTATCCATTAAAAATCATACTTAGTGTCTAGAAAAAAAGTAGCATGTCAAAATAAAGCTACATAGCTGCCCGTGGTCACCGGTGCCAGTGGGCAGGCCCCCGCCGCCCTTGACCTCCGGCCCCGCGGGCTTTAACCCTAAGCGCAGGGCGCCCGGCAGGACCAGGCCGCGCAGCCAGGTTCCGATGCAGGCCTTAGTAGAAGGAGGTTGCTTACGGCTTTGCTGCAGGCTCAGACATGGCCTTTTCAACCCTCCAGAGACATGAGGCTGGTGCAATTCCAGGCACCCCACCTGGCGGGGCCTTACCTGGGCCTGGAGACAGGGAATGGTGGAGGGGTTATTGACCTCAATGCTTTTGACCCCACGCTCCCCAAGACAATGTTGCAGTTCCTCGAGCAGGGAGAGGCCACCCTCTCAGTGGCAAGAAGAGCCCTGGCTGCTCAGCTGCCAGTCCTACCACAATCAGAGGTGACCTTCCTGGCACCAGTCACACGTCCAGGCAAGATGGTGTGTGTGGGCATGAATTATGTGGACCACTGCAAAGAACAGAACGTGCCAGTGCCCAGGGAGCCCATCATCTTCAGCGAGTTCGCCATCTCCACTGTGGGACCCTATGATGAGATTGTCCTCCCACCCAAGAGCCAGGTTGGTGCCTCGTCACTGCCCTCCAGAGTCACTAAGGCCCATCACAAGGGCACTTGGAGCTCAGTATTCAGCCTCTGGGAGCCACCTCTCGCTCACTAGTGCATTAAACTATAGGGGATTAGATGTACAGTAACAACACTGACTTAGACAAAAAGAAATTAATTTACATGTTTTCCTGATTACAAAGGTAACACACCTTCATTGTAGAAAATTAATAAAATACAGATAAACATAAAAAGCTAGCCAGGCTCGGTGGCTCAGCCTGTAATCCCGCGCTTTGGGAGGCTGAGGTGAGTGGATTGCCTGAGCCCGGGGGTTCGAGACCCGCCTGGGCAACTTGGTGAGACCTCATCTCTACAATAAATTTAAAAAAAAAAAAAAATTAGCCGGGCGTGATAGCGCGCGCCTGTAATTCCAACTACTTGGAAGGGTGAGGCAGAAGGATCACCGGAGACCCAGCAGGTCGAGGCTGCGGTGGCCTGGAGCGGCCACGGCACTCCAGTCTGGGCGACAGAGTGAGACTCCAACTCAAAAAAAATAAAATAAAATAAAAAGCTAAAAGTCACCCATATTTCTTTTGCCCAGGGCTTACAATATTACTGTTTTACTGTATAGCTTGCCAGTGTTTTTCTATACCTGTGTATGCTTATACTGTGTACATACTTACCTTTTACTTAAGACTCCAAGGACATTTTTCCATGCTATTAAATATTCTCCCTGACATAAAAAACAAATAAATAAATAAATAAAAATAAAGCTACATATTACTCTTCTGGTTTAATCTCAGCTTTCTCTCCTTGCCATCTGTTTGGTAAATGTAACTATGTTTGATATCATTTCACCTCTATGCCTTCTTACTTCATGCCCAATTTCCTACTCCCTGTGACTACAGTCCTTCCCTGTAAATCATGCCTTTCACTCCTTGAGAAACATTCAAGACAGATGAAAATTCGTGGGCCGCTACTGGTTAAAGTTGAACAATTTGAGCATGAAGAAGAGTAATACTTATAATTTATTTGTATAATACAATTTAATATGTAAGACTCCATAGTCCCCCCAAAATAAAAAATAAGATCTATAGATCTCTAATGATGCTTTTTTAAAAAAAGCATACCAAAAAAAATCCCTTTATTGCTACTATTGGATGTTATTTTCACATCAATTCTTGTCTCTGAAAAATGGTAATTTAAGGGAAAGACTCAAGCATGTATGCTACCTTTCCAGTAGAAACTATCTTTTAGGGTAACCACATAGCCCCAATTGTGGGGGAATGCACTAGCTAGTTTAGAAGGAATTATATAAACTATGTCAAGAACAAAAAAGCAGACTATTAGTAATTTTAAAATCTAGAATATGTTAGATTATGGATATACAGGTGATCATTATACAATTATCTCATCTTTTCCATATGTTGGAAATTTTTCATAATTAAAAAAAGTTGCCATCATGCCAACAAGCAGAAAGTAAAATTATAAAAATGGTAACAACTTGAGTTAAAGAGAAAAACTTTAGTAACATATACTCTACATGTTCAGAAACTACAATTAAAATTTCCAGTCCTGTCAAGGAAAGTTCTCCAGGAAAGCGGGGAGGCATGAAGATTTAAGCAAAACCATCTCTTCCCCCAATCCAGTAAATCAGGGTAACATCTATTCCCAATCACAATCACTTCAAATAACTGCGTTTCAGCAGGCAAGAACAAATATTTCTTTATAAAGATTTCTCTACAGAGTAATAAGCTCCACAGTACCCACAGTCATAAAAGACTGCTTTAAAACTGACATTTTAAAGACTTCTACCCATCTGATAAGACCGTGAGACTAAACTCGGGGATTACATTCCATACCCTCTGCTTTGTCTGTGTCTGTAGCAAGGATGATGGACACAGCCAGAAGTCTAGTGTTCTGCAGTGTTTGGCCAAGGTAGCTATACATTTGACATTATTTACTAACATCCCGATGCGATCTTATTTTGTTTTATTTAAATAGCTTTAGGAAGTACAAATATTTTTTGGTTACATGGATGCATTATATACCAGCAAAATGTCTGGGCTTTGAGTGTATGCACCATCCCCACCTGTGCATTTTATACCTGATAGGTGATTTTTCCTTCCTCCACCCTCCCCCTTCTGAGTCTCCAATGTCCATTATACCATTAGTCTAGCTAGAACATACAGTGTTTGGTTTTCTGTTCCTGAACATCTCAGTTTTAAACTTGAGTTGCCTCTCCTCTAAGAAAACAGAAAAATAACCTCCTCCTCTAATAAAGTATTAGGGGAATGAAGACGACAAGGGATATATATTTAAATAAATAAATAAAAATATATACATACATTTTCAAAGACCATTGCAAGTGAAAAAGACAATTTTTTTTCTTTTTCTTTTTTTCTTTTGAGTAGGAGTCTCACTCCATTGCACAGGCTGGAGTGCAGTGGTACACTCATGGCCACTGTAGCCTCAACCTGCTGGGCTCAGGTGATCTTTCCTCTTCATCCTTCCAAGTGGCTGGAACCACAGGCGCGTGCCACCATGCACGGCTAATTTTTTGATGTACTGTAAAGAAGAGGTCTCGCCAAGTGGCCCAGGCTGGTCTCAAATCCCTGAACTCAGGCAATCCTCTCACCTCTGCCTCCCAAGGTGCTGGGATTACAGGCATGAGCCACTGCATCCGGTTATAACATTTTTTAAAAAAGTAATACTCATGAATTCTTATATAAACAGGCAACATTGTCTAGTGAGTCCAAGATTTACAAAGAATACTAGATTAAGTACACTAAAGGAAATTTAGTTGCAGAGAAAAAAAAGTTACAATCATTGACTAAAAATTCGTGATTATTTATAAAAGTTTTTGACCATATTTCAGAGCTGTTTCATTTTCTGAATTTTCTAATCTCTCTACATTTTCACTCATGTAGTAGTTAAATTATTTTTTCCAAAAATACCTTATTTTTCCTGTATTGTTTAACACAGGGATCCCCAACCCCGCAGTACCAGTCTGTGGCCTGTTAGGAAATGGGCTGCACAGTGAGAGGTGAGTGGTTGGTGAGTAAGCAGTTTCATCTGTATTGACAGCTGCTCCCCATTGTTAGCATTACTGCTTGGGCTCCATGTTCTGTCAGATCAGTGGTGACATTCTCATAGGAGCATAAACCCTATTGTGAACTGTCCCCGCAAGGGATCAAGGTTGCACTCTCCTTAGGAGAATCCAATGCCCAATGATCTGAGGTGGAGCTGAGGGAGTAATGCTACTGCTGGGGAGCAGCTGCAAAGACAGATTAACATTAGCAGTGAGGTTTGGTCGCACGGGATCATAATAAGTCAATTGCTTGAAGACTCCTATCAAAACTCTATCAGTGAGTGGCAAGTGAGTTGATGTACTTCAATTGTACTACATCTGGTGCAGGCTTTAAGTCAGAAACTGCTGCATCTGGTGGCAGGCTTTAAGTTAGAAACTGACACTTATTTTAGTCTGTATGCAGCCCACCCATTATTTTATTCACCACTTTCATCTGTCTCCTTTTTTAAAATGGTGAGTTGAATAATTATTTCATTATATATTGCAATGTAATAATAACAGAAATAAAGTGCACAATAAATGCTATGCGCTTGAATCATACCAAAACCATCCCCTCTTCCCCCAGACTGTGGAAAAATTGTCTTCGATGAAACTGATCCTTGATGCCAAAAATGTTGGAGATTGCTGATTTGACAAGTACTTAGGTTTTCTCCACTGGTATACGGTATTTTCTTTATCTTATCTTACACATCAGTGACTGCTGCCTTACTATTTTCTTCCATTGACTGGTCTCATCATAGTGTTTTAATTATTTAAGCTTTATAATCTTTTAATATGTAGTAAAGCAAGTAATTTCCTTTCTCTTTGATTATCTTCCAGATGAGATTTTAAATCATTTTGATAAGTTCTCTCAAAGTTATGTCAGGTTTTAAAATTTGGTTTGCTATCTATTTATTTTGAGACTGATAGACATAAAAGATGTAAAACTCTTTTACATATAAATTTACATATTTATCTGTAAGTGTATCCCCACTTACATTTATCTACACATATTCATCTAAATATGTAGGTATAGGTATTGATATACATTTATTTGAAAACACGTAGACATATGTTTAGATAATTATATGCTCATATGACAGTTGTCAAGGCTAAAATCCTAACTAAATGTCTTGATTAGAAAAAGATGAACGGGGGAAAGAAATCACATATTATCCTTCCACTTACACCATACTTGTTTATTTATTTAATTAAGAGTTTTTACTTTATTTAATCAATTTGTGATGATTAGTAAATGAAATTTGCTATTGGATTTCAAAGACATATTTGAATTTCACTTATCTTGCAGCTTCAGTAACCTGGAGATTTAAGGGTTTTAAATTTGAAGAAATCTGAGTCTGAAGTCTTATCTCAGACACTTCAACTAGCTACATGACCTTAATGTAATTAGTAGAGATAAAGTTAAGTAACATGTCTAAACCCAGGTGTCTCACCATAAAATGAGGTTTTATATAATACTGCCCACCTCTTAGGGTTAAATGAGATAATATGTATAAAATAATGATCGCAGCACCTGGTTTATAGTAAGCTCTCTCAAAATGTCTGCTATTATTTCAATCTACAATAAGTAACCACCAAAATTAGTGTGTACCTTTTTTTTTTTTTTAGAAAGAAGGATTTATTAAGAGGACAAAAAAGCCTCCACAGTGAGAGGGGCCCTGACGGGGTTGCCCAATTACAGTGTAATTGCAGAACTTCTCCTGAATAAAATTTTGTAACAAACAGAATAAAGCAGTTAGAAATTGTTTAACTACTTTCCTATTTTGAATAGTCATTAAAAATAACTATCAGTTTCTTTCATTTTCTTTGTCCTTCACTGAGGTGTTTGTTAATTGTTCCTGAATCTTGTTTGCTTTTTCCTTGGGCTCAGGCTCTTCTTATCTTCTTCCAGTCTTGTATTTATCTTTCATCCAATCCAATTTTGCATACAAAGGGAAACTGGTTGAAGCATAGGCAACCTCAATTCTAGGTTTGCTGTTGTTAGCCTGATGCCAATGACTTTACTCCATTTTTTTTTTTTTTTT